GCACGGTTCCCTGGGAGTCGCTGTCGCCCAAACCAGAGAGACCAGAGGCATTTCAGTAGGCGCTGCACAACGTCAGCACAGGGTCCGAGTCTGGCTTGGGGTTTTCAGACAAAACGAAGGGAAATGGCATGTGGAGGTTTTGTTCCTGGTTTTGTTCCCACTTAGACATGCCAGCCGCCTCGACCCGCGTTCCTGCTGCTGCCTGTGGGGTAGGCTGCGTCACACACCGGGTTGAGTCCTGAGTCTTGGTGAGGAGGAATTCCCACGTAAGTATCATCCAGTGTGGCCAGGGGAGACTGAAAAAACGCCCAAGGAAATCTCTCTCTCTACCCATGCTTGAGCAACCTCTTGAAATGCACATCAGTTCCCACAGGCTGAGCCTCTGAGGTGCAGCACGGCTGGAAAGTGGCTCTTTGGGCTGGCAGAGGGCACACGGGAGGGGTTGGCCTACGCATCAGGCAGCCCCTCTGTCCCCTCCTCTCCTGGCAGCACAAGTGTCTACAGTCACCATTTCCCCAGGAAGACAGCCGCAGATCCAGAAAGTTCCCCGTGTGAGTAATGTCTGGGTCCACGTGAATGTGTGCATGTTAAAGATGACACATGTGCGTGTACATCACAATTTGTCCTGTCGTGGCTGTGCAGAGCTCACCCAGGAGAAGGGATGTTTTGTTTTCCAGGGAAGATGGGATTTCTCCCCTTCTCTTGCCTGACTGCGCTCACCCACCATCCCACGGAGCAGAACGACTGTCCAGGTTGGCGTGGTGCAGTACCCAGTCCTCTGGGCCAGAGCCCTCCAGCTAATGCCATCTCTTCCCTTTTCTGTCCGTCATGGATCCTGGGTGCTGCCATGTTAAAACGGCTTTCTGGGGATGCAGAAAAAAATGTAGAGAGGGTGAAAGAGCAGGCTGGGAGAGGGCAGGAAGTGAGGAGTGCTGGCTGGTTGGATCATCATCGCGGAACAGCAGAGAGCTGAGCAGCAGCGGGGGGTGGTTCCGAGCAGTGCCGCTGGCCGTGGCGCTCAGGGGTGCGTTGTGCAGGTTCCCAGACATCCCCTCACAGGGGTGAGGGCGGTGGGCAGCAGCTGCCCATGGGAGGCTTGTCCTCCGTTACGGGTCTGTGTCTGGATCTGTGGGTGCGTGTGAGAGTCTGAAGAGCTGCTCAGGTCCTTCCCCAGTGACGGGTGTTCGCTGGGACCGCTGAGGATGCGGCATTCTCGTGGGACACCCACCCCCTCTGCATCCATCCTGACACCCAGGGCCGGCGGGCACAGGCTGCAGCGTGCATCCTTCCTGATGGACCGTGGCAGTTTGTCACCAACCTGTCCAGGAAAAACGGAGGCCCTGAGACCCTACGCACCAGCCAGCCCTGCCTCTGGCTGCCACCTCTGGGGCTGTGCTGCTGCACACAGGAGGGCAATGGGAGGGAAGGGCTCTGTGGGACTGGAGGAGGGCTCTTGGGGGTCTTCTGCTCCCTTCCAGGCCACCTTCAAGTTCAGAGCAGGTTGCTCAGGGCTTCATCGGAGCAGCTCCCAGGGCTGTCGCAGCTCTGTGGGCCCGACCTGCCTCCCTGGTGGCTCTTCCTCCCCCACAAGGACCCCGGGAGTGGCTGTGGGGGCAAGGGCAGAGGTGCATGTGTTGCCTCTCTCTCCTTCCCTTCTCCTTTTGGTGGGAAACACCTGGGCTGGACAAAAAGGCACATTAGATGAAAAATTGCCAGCCCCCCACCCTGAAGGGTGAGGGCCCCTGAGCCCCCAGGGTTACCCTGACACAGCTGCGGTTGCAGGATGGAGACAACTCTTTTTTTTCTTCTTTTTTTTTAAAAAAAAAAAAAAAAAGCTGACAGGTGTTTCATTGGATCTGGAACAACTGGAGGCTGGAAACGATTTAGTTCCTTTCCTGTTTATATTTGGCTTTAAAAAAATAAATCTCACTGACTTGCTACCTCCTGCCCCCGCGTGCTGTGCTGAGCTGCCGCTCTTTCCCCAAACCGCTGCCTTGTCTCTGGGAGGGGGTTTGCTCATCCCCAGGCTCATGTCTCTCCCAAGGCTGGAGCCGAGTCTGGCACCAAGAGCGATGGTGACAGAAACGCCCACCTCTGCACCGGGCCCTGCCAAACCTGCCTGTCCGCTGCTGCCTGCCGCTGCCTGCACCGCCTGGGGTCACAGCCAGTGCCTCTGGCCCGAGGGAGGGCTGGGTTTCTCTCTTTT